GAAACAAGTAGGTACCTTTGTTACACCTGGTCACCTGGTCTCAGGTGTGTTCGACCAACATCTCTCTCACTCTCTATTGTTGTTTGTTCGTTTTTTAGTCTCTGTTTTGGCAGAGTATGGTTTCGGTGGTGAAACGAACATACTTCTCGGAACTCTGTGTAACTCTGTTTACAGAGCATAGATCAGACTTAGTGATTTATGACGTTTTACTGAGGTTGTGTGACACACTGACACTGAGTTTACTCAGGTTCCAAGCTGCTACTTCTGATCTATGTTGAATGGGTATCAGCACACTGTTGTAGTCGGGGAATTTGGTTATGCTGAACCTAGATTCAGTATTAGGGGAGTTTTATGCCTTTTTATGGAGGATCTGCTGAAGGTTCCCAGTTGGGGTCGTTATTTTGTCTCCTTCCGGACTCCATGATGGTAGTGGTGGTGGTGGTGGTGGTGGCGCTGCTGCTGCTGCTGCTTGTGACTGTATTGCTGTTGGCGAATGGTCGTCTTATTGTTCAAGCAAGCTGTTACGATTACCTTGTTAGTCAAGAAGTTAGATTATCTGATGACGTTTAGTCAGTCACTGTTTAAGTCGAGTCGAGTCTTATTGAGACATAACGAACTACTTTGAGCATTCACACACACTTGCTTGTACATACTAGTGTTGTTATAACTGCTGACAACGTACCAGACGGTACTTTAAGAGTCAAAAAGATGTAAATTGTGCCTTCAGCACTATACTACTACTAGAGAAGTGTAGGAGCTTATATCCTAATTTATATCACTGATTTACTTTGGTTTTGTCCACCTAGACAACTTTATTAATAAACATCTCAATTTTTATTTCTTTAGTTAGTATCCCATCAATTACAATCCTAAAGCACTATTAAAAGTTATGGTAGTTCTAATGGATAACTGGAGCAGGATACTGACTACTTGTTACAAAAACCAAGAAACAGGCTGAATGCTAGAGGAACAGACCTTCCAGTATTCTCTGGAGATGTCTATAGTTATAGATATCTCATTTTTTGTAACACACACACACACACACACACACAACACACACACACACACACACACACACACACACACACACACACACACACTGGAAAATCTTATGCACCACGTTAAGGACACTACCAGAGAGAGAGGGGAGGACGAACCAGCAAGACTGGACCTTGCGTTCACCCTGAGTAGCTCAGACATTGAAAACACAACGTATGAAAGGCCCCCCCCTGGAGCTAGTGATCACGTGCTTCTGAGCTTTGAATACATCGTAGTGTTACAAGTGAAGAGGGTAACAGAAGTAGAAAGGGAAAAGCCAAACTGTAAAAGGGGGGACTACACAGGTATGAGGAACTTCCTGCAGGAGGTTCAGTGGGAAAGAGAACTGGTAGGAAATTCAGTAAACGAAATGGACTACGTAACAACAAAATGCAAGTAGGCAGAGGAAAGGTTTGTTTCCAAGGGCATCACCCCTCAAGGAAGGTTCCTTGATGTTGGTGAGGGGCTCTTGATTTAGGGAATTGGATCTGTGCTCCAGTTCCCCGAATTAAGCCTGAATGCCTTCCACATCCCCCCCAGGCGCTGTATAATCCTCTGGGTTTAGCGCTTCCCCCTTGATTATAATAATAATAATAATCCAAGGGCATCAGAAATAATGTGAAGACCAGAACGAGCCTTTGGTTTACCCGAAGGTGTAGGGAAACAAAAATTAAGTGTTCTAGAGAATGGGAAAAAGTACGAATATGCACAGATAAGGAGGGAGGCCCAGCGACAGTACGAAAACAACATAGCATCGAAAGTCAAGTCTGACCCGAAACTGTAGCCAAATCAGGAGGAAGACAACAGTCAAGGACCAGGTAATCAGGCTGAGGAAAGGTGGGGAGCTCACTAGAAACGACCAAGAAGTATGTGAGGAGCTCAACACAAGATTTAAGGAAATATTTACAGTGGAGACAGAAGGGACACTGTGAAGACAAAACAGAGAGGTACACCAACAAGGGATATACTAACAAGTGTTGAATGAAATTCAACCGAGGAGGAAAAGACGCTGCTAAGTGACCTTGATACCTCAAAGGCGGTGGGACCGGACATCTCTCCGTGGGTCCTTAGAGAGGAAGCAGAGAGTGTGTGTGCAACAAACCACAATTTTCAACACATCCCTTGAAACTGGGCAACTACCTGAGGTACGGAAGACGGCAAATGTAGTCCACATCTTTAAGAAAGGAGACAGAAACGAGGCACTAAACTATAAACCAGTGTCACTTACGTGCATAGTATGCAGAGTAATGGAGAAGGTTATAAGGGGGAGAGTGGTGAGGCACCTGGAACGGGACAAAATTATAAACGACAACCAGCACGGATTCATGGAAGATAAATCCTGTGTCACAAACCTACTGGAGTTTTATGACAAGGTAACAGAAGTAAGACATGAGAGAGAGGGGTGAGTTGATTACCTTTTCTTGGACTGCAAGGCCTTAGACATAGTTATTCACAAGAGATTAGTGCAGAAGCTAGAGGATCAGGCATGTATAACAGGAAGAGCACTGCAATGGATCAGAGAATACCTGACAGGGAGGCAACAGCGAATCATGGTACGTTATGAGGTGTCACAGTGGGCACCTGTGACGAGCGGGGTCCCACAGGGGTCAGTCCTGGGACCAGTGCTATTTTTGGTATATGTGAATGAGATGACGGAAGAGATAGACTCAGAAGTGTTCCTTTTTGCAGATGATGTGAAGCTAATGAGGGGAATTAAATCAGATGCGGATCAGGCAGGACTACCAAACCGCAGCACCGGTTTGGAACCTACACCTGGTCAAGCGCTCCAAGAAATTAGATAAAGTGCAAAAGTTTGCAACAAGGCTATTTCCAGAGCTAAGAGGAATGTCTTATGAAGAAAGGTTAAGGAAAATCAGCCTGACGACACTGGAGGACATGAGGGTCAGGGGAGACATGATAACGACATACAAAATACTGCGCGGGATAGATAAGGTGGACAGAGACAGGATGTTCCAGAGATGGGACACAGAAATAAGGGGTCACAATTGGAAACGAAGACTCAGATGAGTGAAAGGGATGTTAGGAAGTATTTCTTCAGCCATAGAGTTGTTAGGAAGTGGAATAGTCTGGCAAGTGATGTAGTAGAGGCAGGAACCATACATAGTTATAAGACGAGGTATGATAAAGCTCATGGAGCAGAGAGAGAAGGGACCTAGTAGCGGTCAGTGAAGAGGCGGGGCCAGGAACTGAAACTCAACCCCTGCAACCACAAATAGGTGAGTACACACACTCAAACAAACACACACACACACACACACACACACACACACACACACACACACACACACACACAAACACACACACACACACACACACACACACACACACACACACACACACACACACACACACCACACACTTGTCAGGAAGACAGCAGCGAGTCATGGTACGTGGCGAGGTGTCAGAGTGGGCACCTGTGACCAGCGGGGTCCCGCAGGGGTCAGTCCTAGGACCAGTGCTGTTTCTGGTATTTGTGAACGACATGACGGAAGGAATAGACTCTGAGGTGTCCCTGTTTGCAGATGACGTGAAGTTGATGAGAAGAATACACTCGATCGAAGACCAGGCAGAACTACAAAGGGATCTGGACAGGCTGCAGAACTGGTCCAGCAATTGGCTCCTGGAGTTCAATCCCACCAAGTGCAAAGTCATGAAGATTGGGGAAGGGCAAAGAAGGCCGCAAACGGAGTACAGTCTAGGGGTCAGAGACTACAAACCTCACTCAAGGAAAAAGATCTTGGGGTGAGTATAACACCAGGCACATCTCCTGAAGCGCACATCAACCAAATAACTGCTGCAGCATATGGGCGCCTAGCAAACCTCAGAACAGCATTCCGACATCTTAATAAGGAATCGTTCAGGACCCTGTACACCGTATACGTTAGGCCCATATTGGAGTATGCGGCACCAGTTTGGAACCCACACCTAGCCAAGCACGTAAAGAAACTAGAGAAAGTGCAAAGGTTTGCAACAAGACTAGTCCCAGAGCTAAGAGGTATGTCCTACGAGGAGAGGTTAAGGGAAATCAACCTGACGACGCTGGAGGACAGGAGAGATAGGGGGGACATGATAACGACATACAAAATACTGAGAGGAATTGACAAGGTGGACAAAAACAGGATGTTCCAGAGATTGGACACAGTAACAAGGGGACACAGTTGGAAGCTAAAGACACAGATGAATCACAGGGATGTTAGGAAGTATTTCTTCAGCCACAGAGTAGTCAGTAAGTGGAATAGTTTGGGAAGCGATGTAGTGGAGGCAGGATCCATACATAGCTTTAAGCAGAGGTACGATAAAGCTCACGGCTCAGGGAGAGTGACCTAGTAGCGATCAGTGAAGAGGCGGGGCCAGGAGCTCGGACTCGACCCCCGCAACCTCAACTAGGTGAGAACTAGGTGAGTACACACGGATAATACTAACGGCCTGAAAAAAACTAACAAGTATACAGTAAAACAAGTATAATTACACTGTTAAAATATTCCGCAATTTTTAATATATATAATATATATATATATATATATATATAATATATATATATATATATATATATATATATATATATATATATATATATATATATATATATATATATATGCTGATTTCCATACAGTCATGCAAACAATTACATGACAGTTTTAGTGTTTTTCAGCCATGTTTATTATGGTTCTCGTGCACCAGTGTCCAGCAGTAGTCGACCGTCCAACTGATCATTAACTATCCCTGATATCTCTTCTCCATGATGGCTGTCTCGGTCAAATCGGTCACCGTGGGCCTGTTTCACAGAACTGTGCGTGCTGGAGCAAAACAAAGCTCAGATTTGAATTCAGCGTCCCGCTATCAGTTAGAAAAACAGTTTGTAAATGTTAATTAAAATTTTAGTTGTCCAGTGTAATTAATGTTAATTAAACAAGTAGCCATCTTGCATATACTAACTCATATATTCATATTTACAGCATAAAAATATTTCTGTGACCTGAAAAGCATAACATATTTATTTTAATAATAATACTCAACATCAGTCGGCCATTTTTTGAAACTCGTAAAGACTGACAGTGACGCTCACTGGATTATGGAGAAGCCTAAAAGACTCCAGGTGCAGCCAGAAATAAATAATTTTGTTTAGCAACAGACTAAAAGCTATGAGAGGTTAGTAATGATTTCCAACAGCAAAAGATTTCGTCTTACTGCTGCTGTCTTTTGTACTGTTGTTTATCTTAACTTACACACCACAAGGCTTCTGTTACTATACTGGAGCCAAGAAAAAAGGGAACAATTTCTTTGCAAGAGGAAAATTAATTCATCTCGGCCTCTCATCAGAATTCAACTAGTTCACAAATATTTGGTTATATTAGAGAGATATGTTGAAAATTGTATAAAACACTGATAAGTTGATGAGTAAGACACATGTAAAATAGTTGGGTATCTTTATTGTTGAAACGTTTCGCCTACACAGTAGGCTTCTTCAGTCAAATATGGAATCAGCATGAGCAGCAGCGAAGTAAAAATGCAATCAGTCCATCAGCGGTGGAGAAAATAGTATTTAGGGGACTGACCACCTCAAATACTATTTTCTCCAAAGTTGATGGACTTATTACATCATTTTTACTTCGCTGCCACTCCTGCTGGCTTCATATTTGACTGAAGAAGCCTACTATGTAGGCGAACCGTTTCAAAAATAAATACCCAACTGTTGTACATGTTTCTCCCTCGTCACACGGGCGAAATATCTATCTACGTGTGGGGTAGTGAATCTAGATTTAATGGGTTCACTAGAAAATAACTGAATGGTTCACTCGACCTTGTTGAGGGGCAGAGTACATGAAAACTGAAAAACCTAGCAACCAGAAACTGGGTATGAACTAGGATCTAGGGACGTACTAGAACCTAGATGGGAACTATGATCTATGGAGGACCTGGAGCTTAGGGAGGCATCCAGGTCCTGTTGAGGTTGAGTGGATGTCCCGGGTGGAAGAGAATGGAGCGGTACAGGTGAGGATGGTCCAGCAGGTATCGAGGGGCGTAGTAGCGGTCCGTGGTGTCCGTGACGGGGATGTAATGCTTCTCGTCGTCGAACCAGCTGTAGAGACCAACACATTACTGAGAGACTTGATGCAGGCGAGACCAAAGGTGCATACGCCACCGACGAACAGGCACAAAATTGATAAAGATGGTCAAAATAAGACAAAGGATGATTTAAGATCATCGTTGTTTTAACAACATTTTTTTCAAATAAAACAGTACGTTATACCACGATGATAATTCAAAATCAGCCGAAACATTAACAAATTACATAAAAGTAATTGCAGTTAGGCTGACCTAAGACAGACTTGTTAGGATCAAACTAGTTTACGTCAATTATAACAAAGTTAGGCTAGGTTAGGGTGGTAATTTATTTTTTTTTTTTGAAATAAACTGGATACTACGTCAGTTCTCTTGAATAAATCCATTAATCCATAAGAATAAGACATACACAATTTTGACGAAAATTCGGCTTTCTATAGTGTTCAGGCTACAAGAATAACACACACACACAAAACACACACACAAAACACACAAACACACACACACACACACACAACACCACACACACACCCCAAAACACACACATACACACACACACACACACACACACTGAAGGGAACATCAACAGAGAATATACCAACAAGTGTTGGATGACATACGAACAACCGAGGAAAAGGTGCAGAAGCTGCTAAGTGACCTTGATACCTCAAAGGTGATGGGACCGGACAACATCTCCCCATGGGTCCTTAGAGAAGGAGCAGAGATGCTGTGTGTGCCCCTAACCACAATCTTCAACGCATCCCTTGAAACTGGGCAACTACCTGAGATATGGAAGAGGGCAAATGCAGTCCCCATTTTTAAGAAAGGAGACAGAAACGAGGTGCTAAACTACAGACCTGTATCTCTGACGTGTATAGTATGCAAAGTCATGGAGAAGATTATCAAGAGGAGAGTGGTGGAACACCTGGAACGGAACAAGATTATAAATGAAAACCAGCATGGGTTCATGGAAGGCAAATCCTGCGTCACAAACCTTCTAGAGTTTTATGACAAGGTAACAGAAGCAAGACACGAGAGAGAGGGGTGAGTCGACTGCATTTTCCTGGACTGCAGGAAGGCCTTTGACACAGTTCCTCACAAAAGATTAGTGCAGAAGCTGGAGGATCAGGCGCATATAACAGGGAGGGCACTGCAATGGATCAGGGAATATCTGACAGGGAGGCAACAACGAGTCATGGTACGAGAAGAGGTATCACAGTGGGCGCCTGTGACGAGCGGGGTCCCACAAGGGTCAGTTCTAGGACCAGTGCTATTTTTTATATATGTGAATGACATGATGGAAGGGATAGACTCTGAAGTGTCCCTATTCACAGATGATGTGAAGTTCATGAGAAGAATTAAATCGCATGAGGATGAGGCAGGACTGCAAAGAGATCTGGGCAGGCTGGACACGTGGTCCAGAAACTGGCTTCTCGAATTCAACCCTGCCAAATGCAAAGTCATGAAGATTGGGGAAGGGCAAAGAAGACCGCAGACAGAGTATAGGCTAGGTGGACAAAGACTACAGACCTCACTCAGGGAAAAAGATCTTGGGGTGACCATAACACCGAGCACGTCACCGGAGGCACACAGCAACCAGATAACTGCTACAGCTTACGGGCGCCTGGCAAACCTGAGAATAGCGTTCCGATACCTTAATAAGGAATCGCTCAAGACACTGTACACTGTGTACGTTAGGCCCATACTGGAGTATGGAACACCAGTCTGGAACCCACACCTGGTCAAACACGTCAAGAAGTCAGAGAAGGTACAAAGGTTTGCAACAAGGCTAGTTCCAGAGCTTAGGGGAATGTCGTACGATGAAATGTTGAGGGAAATCGGACTGACGACACTGGAGGCCAGAAGGGTCAGGGGAGATATGATAACGACATACAAGATACTGCGGGGAATAGACAAGGTGGACAGAGACAGGATGTTCCAGAGAGGGGACACAGAAATAAGGGGTCACAATTTGAAGCTGAAGACTCAGACGAGTCACAGGGATGTTAGGAAGTATGTCTTCAGTCATAGAGTCGTCAGGAAGTGGAATAGCCTAGCAAGTGACGTAGTGGAGGCAGGAACCATACATAGTTTTAAGAAGAGGTATGACAAAGCTCAGGAAGCAGAGAGAGAGAGGAACTAGTAGCGATCAGTGAAGAGGCGGGGCCAGGAGCTGAGTCTCGAACCCTGCAACCACAAATAGATGAGTACACACACACACATACACACACACACACACACACACACACACACCACACACACACACACACACACACACACACACACACCGAAATGAATATATATACAGGTAAGAAGGGAGGCCCAACGACAATAAGGAAATGACATAGCAGCATAATCCAAATCTGACCCAAAGCTGCTGTACAACCACATCAGGAGGAAAACAACAGTCAAGGACCAGGTAATCAGGCTGAGAAAGATAGGAGGGGAGATCACGAGAAACTACTGAGAAGTATGTGAAGAGCTCAACATGAGATTTAAAGAAGTATTTACAGTGAAGACAGAAAGGACTCCAGAAAGCAGGAGTACTGGGGTACACCAACAAGTGCTGGACACACTACACACAACCAAGGAGGAGGTGAAGAGGCTGCTAAGAGAACTAGATACCTCACAGGCGATGGAGCTGGAGATATCTCCGTGGGTCCTGAGGAAGCAGAGGCGAAGTGTGCCACTAACAACAATCTTCAACAAAGCTGTCGAAACAGGACGACTACCTGAGGTGAGGAAGACAGCCAATGTAGACCCAATTTTTAAGACATGCAGCATTACACTACAGACCAGTGTCACTGACATGTATGATATGCAAAGTCATAGAGAAGATTATTCACAACAATCAGCACGGTTACAAGGAAGGAAAATCCTGTGTCACAAACATACTGGAGTTTTACGATAAGGTGAGACAAGAGAGAGAGAGAGACAGAAAGGGGTCGGTAGATTGCATTTTCTTGGGATGTAAGACGGCTTTCGATACAGTTCAACACAAGAGATTAGTGTAAAAGCTGGAAGATCAGGCAAGTATAAAAGGGAAGGCACTGCAATGGATCAGAGAATACCTGACAGAGAGGCAACAATGAGCCATGGCACGTGATGAGGTGTCAGAGTGGGAGCCTGTGACGAGCGGGATCCCACAGGGATCAGTCCCAGGACTGGAGCTGGTGTATGTGAACGACATGAAGGAAGGTATAGACTTAGAAATGACCTTGTTTGCAGACGATGTGAAGCTAATTAGGAGAATTCAATTGGATGATTATCAGGCAGGAATACAAAGGGATTGGGACAGGCTGCAAGCCTGGTCCAGCAACTGGGTCCTGGAGTTTAACCCAACCAAGTGCAAAGTCATGAAGATTGGGGAAAGGGAAAGAAAACTGCGAACAGAATACAGTTTAAGGGGTCAAAGACTGCAAACCTCACTCAAGGAAAAGGATCTTCCGGTGAGTATAATACCGAGCACATCTGAGGCACACATCAACCAAATAACTACTTCAGCATATGGGCAACTTGCAAACCTAATAACAACATTACGACACCTCAGTAAGTAATCGTTCAAGACTCTGTACACAGTGTACATCAGGCCCATATTAGAGTATACAGCAATAGTTTGGAACCCACACCTGGTCAAGCATGTCAAGAAATTAGAGAAAGTTCAATGGTTTGCAACAAGACTAGTCCCAGAGCTAAGGGGCATGTCCTGTGAGGAAAGGTTAAGGGAAATTAACCTGACGACACTGGAGGACAGGAGGGCTAGAGGAGACATGATAACGATATATAAAATCCGAGAGGAATAGATAAGGTGGACAGAGACAGGATGCTCCTGGGACACAGCAACGAGGGGTCACAATTGGAAGCTGAAGACTCAGATGAGTCAAAGAGACGCTAGGAAGTATTTCTTCAGTTATAGAGTTGCCAGGAAGTCGAATAGTTTGGAAAGTGATGTAGTGGAGGTAGCATCGATATATAGCTTTAAGAAGAGGTATGATAAGGCTCAGTGAACAGGGAGAGAGAGGACCCAGTAGCAACCAGTGAAGAGGCGGAGCCAGGAGTTATGACTCGACCCCTGCAACCACAGTTAGGTGAGTACACACACACACACACAAACACACACACACACACAAACACACACACACACACACACACACACACACACACACACACACACACACACACACAGTAAGACTAGTGTTTAAAGCCGGTGTATAGACCGCTTTTTATATGCTCATGAAAGCAGCGTTGCTTCATATCATTGATAACGACCCACACTACCACTACCACGCACTCGCTACCATCATTGATAACGACCCACACTACCAAATACCACACACTCGCTACCATCATTGATAACGACCCACACTACCACTACCACACACTCGCTACCATCATTGATAACGACCCACACTACCACTAAACACGCACTCGCTACCATCATTGATAACGACCCACACTACCAACCACCACACACTCGCTTACCATCATTGATAAACGACCCCACCTACCACTACCACGCACTCGCTACCATCATTGATAACGACCCACACTACCACCACCACACACTCGCTACCATCATTGATAACGACCCACACTACCACTACCACACACTCGCTACCATCATTGATAACGACCCACACTACCACTACCACACACTCGCTACCATCATTGATAACGACCCCAATACCACTACCACACACTCGCTACCATCATTGATAACGAAACCCCCACTACCACTACCACACACTCGCTACCATCATTGTAACGACACACTACCACTACCACACACTCGCTACCATCATTGATAACGACCCACACTACCACTACCACACACTCGTACCATCATTGATAACGACCCACACAACCACTACCACGCACTCGTACATCATTGATAACGACCCAAAACTACCACTACCACGCACATCGCTACCCTCATTTGATAACGACCCACACTACCACTACCACGCACCTCGCTACCATCATTGATAACGACCCACACTACCACTACCACCCACT